TTTATATAATTTTATTAATAAAAATACTAAAAATGCTATAATTCTCAAAATTTTACTATTTATTCTAACTTTATACTCTAAGTAAACTTGTTCAGTATACAATATACATTATGCTAATATATTTAATTTTATATTTAATAAAAGTTTAAGAGAAGATGCTTAATTTTGAATATTTTGATCAAAATATCTAAAATTAAATATTTTTTTTTAAATTTTTAAGAAATATAAAATTAAATATGCTGAACTACAATTTCCAAAAAACTTTTTACTAGAAAAAAAACAGTATACTAGAGTAAAGGTGACAACTCTCATATAAGATATAGGAAAAGAGACTATAAGTCAGCAGCTGTTATTTAGAGATAGTTTTCATATGCTACCTGCTAACAGCTTTAGAGTTTATTACTTACTAACTGCAGACATAGCATTTGTCATTTAGAAGTAGTTCTTATACGCTACTTGCCAACAATTTTAGAGTTTATTACTTACCAAAAAGACTTATTACTGTGCAGGCTTAGGTAGATAGTTAATTTTAGTAAAAGAAAACCAACGCTCTTTTGATGGTTTCAAGTGTTTTTTTTTTCTTTTATTTTTTGCTGACCTCTTCAAAAATTTGACAAAAAGTAGGCATTTTAGCTCACCCTCTCCAAAAGATCAGGATTGTTTATATTTATCTAATTCAGATGAACTCAGTAGAATGCAATCACGTGTTTGTTTTGTTTATCATTATGGTGCTATAATACGGAGATGAGATCGATAACCCGTTTAGAAGATACTCGACTCTGTTGACATGTCTGGAACAAGTTCTAATATTAAAGCGAAGCTTTATAGCTGAGATATATTAATTAGTTGCAATTAGTATATAATTTTTACCTTTATATCTGGCATGGATTATAATAGTATATTTTTATTGCTTTTGTTTGTTTGTTTTTTTAAGATGGTTCATTAGAACTCCTATATCTTTTTTTCTGCTTTTTTTATTTTTGTTCTATTATGATGGAACTATATTTAGAACCTCTTTTTTTTTTGGTTAAATGTTTTTTTTTTTTGGTTTTGTTTTTGTTTTTCTAGATAGTTTTGTTTTCTTTTATAGATGTGGCATATTTTTTCTTCCTTTACGAAAAAATAAGAAATAAACTATTCTGCCTGAATCTAGGTGAAAAAAATTTAGAAGGAAGAATAAATAGTTTTGATAAGCTAGTAAAAACCTTTCAGTGAAGATTTATTCTTTTCAAGTGCAGAAAGGAATATTTTGAAGAAGAATCCTGCCTATAGCAGGTCGCACATAGATAATTTGGACTCTAGTCACAAAAAGCCAGGTGAGCTAATACTTGTAATTTAGGTGGCGTTAGGGTTTATACTCTACGAAAATTTTAATATTTCATAGTATAATATTATAAAGCCTAATAAGGTAAAGGCAAGACTGCCAAACTGTTAAAAAAAAATAATAAATTAAATATACCAGAAAAATGTATTTTTGTGTGCTAAACAAAGTTTATTATAGCATAAAGTTATAATCAATTAGCAAAATTTTGAGAATATTAATATTTTATATAATTTTATTAATAAAAATACTAAAAATGCTATAATTCTCAAACGTTTACTAATTGATTTTAACTTTATGCTCTAAGTAAACTTGTTCAGCACACAAAAATATATTATGTCAGTATATTTAATTTTATATTTTTTAAAAAGATGTATAATCTTGAATTTTTGATTAAAAAATTCAAAATTAAGTACTTTTTTTTGAATTTTAAAAAATCATAGTGGTTTAAAAAAAAAGATAGCTTATTCTTAAGTATAATTCTTCCAAAATACAGGTAATTTGCTAAAAATAAAATATAACATGTATAAAATTAATGTAATTTAACAAAATAATCAATTATGATCTATTTTCAATTTGCTAAAACTCAAATTTGTGCAATTTGCTAAAAAAAAAATATGATCTATATCAGAGATGTCTGGGGTTCTGGTTTGAGTTTAAAAAAACAAGTTTGAGTTTAAAATTAAAGTTTGATTTTGGTTTAATTTGAAATTTGTTAAACTTAAATCAAATTCAAATCAAATTTCAAAACCCTATTTTATACCTTTTAGAAAAAGAAAAATTTTTAAAAAAAATAATATTTATAATATGGAAGCTAATTGCCATGCTATATTGGATTTTTAGTGCTTATAGTATTGTATATAAAATCTTCTGGCAATATCAATGCAATAGCTATACTTGAGTACTTGAGAAAGCAGCCAGGTATCTGCCTAATATAAAGTTAGATAAAATACTGTAACTTGAATTGCATATTTCTAATTTTGAAATATGCAAATAAAATTTTGTTAATAAAGTAATAATTCTATGTATCCTCTTATTTAAATTATATACTAAACCTTAAGCACATGATATGCTTTGGATAGTTTCTGGCTACTAAAGACACATGTGATAGCAGTCACATTATGATCTTATTAGTGCTCTCTAATTGCAACCCTCTCTAAATGCACGGTTCTGACGATGTGCATTTAGAGAGATCTGATTGTATCAATATATATGTGCGTAGACTGCTTAAAAGAAAATTATTTAAAGTGCCGTGATTGGTTATTAGTTCTATGTAGAGGTTGGAGCCGGTTTTATTTTTAATATGCTACGTAAAACTGATTGAAACGGTTTTAAATTACGATAACCATTCTATTTGAGCAAATCTACTCATCATATGGCCTAAATTATGTGACGCATAATGCCAGTACAGGTCAAATTATGCATATGTCGCAAAATCCTGGACTCCCTACTGGACAGATCATGTGCGATCTTAAAAACCTGAAAGTGCAAAAAAAGTACATAGTCATTATTTTGTTCCCGTAATAACGATAATGACTATCAAGGCTGTAGCCGTTCTTTGCGGTGACAACCCGAGTATCACTGTAAGCGGTGCTATCATTTTCACTCAAAAAAACGAATATGCACCGACTCATGTAGATATTAATATAAAAGGATTAACGCCAGGACTACATGGGTTTCATATTCAGTAAGTGTTCAAAGAGAACGGTTCTGATACGTACAATTGGTTCCATTCATAAAAACTTTTAAAATTCCATATATCGAGATTTTGATTGGTCTCCACTATATCGTGAGTTACTATAACGAAAGTGATTTGTAGTCAAAAAAATTTAAAGCCTTAAATTCACATTCATGGTCAGACAATATCTATTCGAGTGAATAATAAGGATTTAATAAAAATTAGTGAGTTTGGCGACAACACAAATGGATGTACCTCTGCTGGTGGTCACTTCAACCCCTTTAACAAAACACACGGTGCTCCCGAGGATGAAAATCGGCATGTAGGCGACTTGGGCAATGTTAAAGCTTCGCGAGATGGAAACGTGAAAACTAAAATTATCGATAAATTACTCACGTTGGTTGGCCCCAATTCGATAATCGGGTAAGAATTCACAAGTTGAAGGTTATTCTTTAAAATAAACGCGTAATTTATGACAAAATTTCTATCTAAAAAGTCGAACCGTGATCGTTCATGCCGATGTTGACGATCTCGGTAAAGGTGGTCATGAACTTTCATCCACAACTGGCAATGCTGGTGCTCGTCTTGCTTGTGGTATCATTGGTATGTCACAATCAAAGTTGTGATTAAATCGTATTTATCATGTTTATTCTTCACCCAAAAGAGAAAACAACACGTAGACAAGCAAAGTGCAAATATAGTAATATTCAATATGTACGGTCGATATAACGTAATGATTTTTTTTTAAAAAAAAGTTATAATATAAAGTTCTGTATAGGAACAGTAAATTATCATGTAAGAACCATTTGAAAAATTTTTACTTGAAGGACAGCCAGTTATAGATAATTGACTGTATTCACATTGTATATGAGTGCCATCAAGGGAAAACCCAAAATCTGGCTTTCAATTATTTTTTGTGTCTGACCTTTTAACCGTATTATCTTGACAACTAATGCACCAAATTCGATGAAGTTTTTTTTATTCGAATTCTACAGATATGTAGAATTCGAATAAAAAAAACTTGTCAAGATAATACGGTTAAAAGGTCAGACACAAAAAATAATTGAAAGCCAGATTTTGGGTTTTCCCTTGACGGCACTCATATAGTATAAAGTTATAAATTGTTTAATAAATGAATATATCGGCTTTGCCAATTACACCATTTTTTAATTTCTAAAACGCACCTATCCCTTAAACCGGGCAAATTTGCCCGCTAAAATAATTTTTAAAAAGTTTTTTAAATTTTCTCAAAATTTATTTAAGCCTTACCCCTATTTATTAAGTAAAAATTAAAGATATTTATTTTATTAACAATGTATTTAAAATTTATTGTTTTATCTTTAATTCTAACAAATATATTACATTTTTAATAAACCTAATTTTTTAATTTTACTACAGTCGTCCTCTCATACAATCACAGTTGGGCACATAGTAACTTTTTTTAAAATGTGCTTACAAATAGTGAACCAAGCCAACCTTAAAAAATCGACTTGACTAAGTTGACTCAAGTTGATTTCTTTACGTGGTAATATCACGTTACATGTAATGACCAATCACAGTCTGGGTTACACTTAGGGTTTAATACAATTTTTGGCATTTATATCAATGTGTATTAAATGATCATTTTTGAGACCAAGTTAATAACATTCGTTTTATCTTTTTTGGATTCGTTCATTTATTATATTCTTATAAATTTAATTTTATTCAAGGTAATTAAATGATTTAATTTTATTCAAAATCTGGATAGACATTAAAATTTTTATTATTTTCTTTCAAAAAAACTAAATCATAAACACTTTCGGGAAATAATCTATTTCTTTTATTAGTTAGTATATTTCTAGCTATTGAGAATAAATGTTCTAAAAGAACTGAAGTTGCAAATATTGCAAGGTAGTGACAAGCTAGTTGTAAAAGTAGAGGTAATGTTTTTGAATATAACCGCCACCAATAAAGTGGGTTTTCAGTTTTATACTCTGAATCATTAGAATTATATAGTATCATTTAAGGAATATCAAAATATGTTTTTAATTCTATATCAGCTGCAGAGAATTGCTGGCTAGTTGTGGTGCTTTTAAAAAAAGATGCTAAATTTGAAAATGGCTTTACAAGCTGCTGTTTTTCCAAACTCTTATTCTTATCTAATGTTCTTATTTTTTGTTTAAGATATTTTTTAGTTTCTTTAAATTTTTCTGGCACAAATTCAAAATTTTTAAATCTAGGATCTAGAATTACAGCCAAATATCCTTCTATTTTAGGATTCTCCTATCGATTAGCAATATTAATTTCAATTTCATTTTTGACAGTACGAACAACTTGTGAGTGTTTGTTCTGCTTTAAACAAATGCTCTTGAAGGGTTACAATTGTTGAAAGTATAAGAGAAAGTGTAGAATAAGTATCACCACTCATTAAGGATATTGCACGAGCAAAGGGTTCTAATAGATTAATAAGTTCTTTAACAATAAGAATTCTAATTTTTTCCTGTTTTTACGAATTTCTCAATCAGCATAATTGAATCATCTTTTGACAAGTAATTGTATTGATTCATATAATATGATTAAACGTTCTAAAAGCACAAATGTGGAATTCCAGCATGTGGCAGATACTGTTGCTACTGGTTCTAAAAACTGTACTCAACATGTAGTAAAATTTTTTTTTTTTTGTTTATCTCTTCCTGCGCTTTTCTCTATACTTATCCCTATTAACTAAAAACTATTTATATCTTTTGCTTTATCAATTAATTCTATTACTTCATCAGATTTTAAGGAATCTGTGATTGAAAGTTGAAGAGTATGTGCTATATAGCGAATATGAATTATTTCTAAATTGGTTATTGACAAAGCATTGTCTGTTGTTTCTACAATACATTTTTCTGAAATATTTCATTTTACAAATTTACGTCTTAAACAGTCTTCAACATATTCTCCAGTATGGGGATAAGAAAATTCCTCTATAGTCATAAGTATTTGATTCAAATTAAAATTAAAATCTAGCCAATATGCCATAATCCCAAAATATAGCTTATATGAACAGATCCAAAGATCAGTTGTGAATGAAAAAATATCTACTGTCATTTGAAAAAGGTTAAGTATTTTGTTTTCTTCAAAATTAACTATATCATAAAATTTTTTTTTAAATATATTTTGGCATAGAAGTTAATAGCGGGATTCTGCTTTATATATGAAATCTTGAAACTTATCATTTTCCAATACATTAAATGTCTGCATATTATTAACTATTCATGCTAGAAGTCTGGAGGTTAATTTATCTTTTTTTTTAGAAAATAATGATAATGGTTTTGTTATTGTATCTAATAATGTGGGTTGTTTGGGATCTTTTTGAGCTACATAAATAGACTTGTTGCTAACTGGCTGCCCAGATGTACCTGATAATGGTAATAATAAACCTTTTCTAATAGATGATATATTGTGTGAAGATGAGCTCCTAGTGTGCTTGTACTGATAAGAAGTGAAAAAAGTTCTCCACATAGTTCTATTTTTCCATTTCGATTAACTGAGATCTCACATATTCTTACAGATTTATCTTTTCTCATGTAATGCCATACCCAACTTTTTTTGGGTTTGGCTTTTTTGTTAGATAATATGGCAAAAACTAATTTGTGTTTTTTGTTACTTTGTAAAGAATTGATATTCGAAGAATCAGAATAATTAAAGCTGTCTGATAGCAACACAAGATTTTTAGGACTATCTAAATTATGGTACTCAGAATTATACAAAGATTCAGAAACACATGATAAATTAGCATGTTCAAAATTATAAGATTCAAGGTTTGAAAGTTCAAAAAACATATTAGAAATAGAATCTGAATTATTTTTTAATATATTATTAGAAGTATTTTTAGATTCATATTGAAAGGTAGAACTATTCTGGTCCATTATCAAAGAATAATACTAAAAATTTTATGTAGCTTGAAAGCAAAGCAAAATTTGAATATATAAAAATGCTATTTTATTAAAAGTAAAACTAAAACTTTTTTTTTTTTTTGGTATTAAGGTGAAATCTTGCTCATATCTTTATTAATTAATTTATATAAGTAATTACATATCAACTATATAAAGACTTAATTTATATAGAAACAAATAAATATAAATTATATTCAAGAATAAAAGCTCAAACTAGAAGCTTAAACAAAAGCTTAAACTAATTATCTGCGACCTAAACCTACTAAAGTAGTCAAAACTCACCTAGATTTGAATTGTTAGGATATGATTAATAGAAGTGCTATATTTGATCCACATAGTAGGCCAAATATTAATTTTAAGAGTAGCTTGTCCCAGAGGAGGGCAAGTACAGGTGACCCTTGCTAATACCAACCCATTTGAATTGGTTTTAAATCATGTTGATAGTGATATTAACGAGAAATCATATTAAGGGGGGTGCCAGAAATCACCTGATTTCCATTTACTATAGAGCCTACCCCCTCCCCCCACCTGACTGGTTTGACAGCCAATCAAATTTTACTTATATTAAAATTATTATTAAAAATATTTATA